AGATAGATAGATAGATAGATAGATAGATAGATAGATGACAGACAGACAGACAGACAGATAGATGACAGACAGACAGACAGATATAGATAGATGACAGACAGACAAACAGAAGATAGATGACAGACAGACAGACAGAAGATTAGGGTTGGGTATCGATTGGGTTTTTTACGATACCGGTGCCAAATCCATACTTTTAAAACGGTACCGGTGCCTAAACGGTGCCTGAACCGATACTTAAAAAAAAACAAAAAAAACATGGATAACATTAAAGAACATTACAGACAGACAGACAGACAGACAGACAGACAGACAGACAGACAGACAGACAGACAGACAGACAGACAGACAGACAGACAGACAGACAGACAGACAGACAGACAGACAGACAGACAGACAGACAGACAGACAGACAGACAGACAGACAGACAGACAGACAGACAGACAGACAGATAGATAGATAGATAGAGAATTCTACATTATTCAGTACAAAAACCACTAAAAAACAGTATAGATTTATAATATTAGCCTCATTTACAGTAGAATATCAGCAAAAATGTAAAAATACCTCAGATCCTCAATCTCCTTGATGTAATTCTGAATCATATTTCCAATCTCCTCACTGCCTTCACCTGAAAACATAGTCCAAATTCTGTCAACAACTATCAAACATCTTACAAAGTCTTTGATTGGCCGTATTTGCCGTGCTGTACCTGCTCTGGAGAGCACCTGATTGGCCTGTTCACTGAGCAGCTGCGTGAGCCGAGCGCCCTGAGCATCGATGGCTTCCTGCATGGCCTTCACGCGCATGCGCAGATTATTGTTCTCTATCTGCAGCATTGAGTTCTCATGGAACATGTCGTTGATGCTTTCCAGCCCATCCTCTCCGACCATACGCTTCCCCTGAGAAACACAGACAGACTTACTTCATTCACCAAACATTCACACAATTTATATAAAAGAATCACAATATTATTTATTAGCTAAACCCCTATGTCATAAATTTCTATTTCACAAGTTATCTGAAATGAACGTCTAGGGGTTTGCAATCCCTTGATTGGTAAAGCCTGCCGTAAAAAAAAATAACGTAATATTTTAGCACTGTTTAGCTGACACTATTTAATCATATTAATCAGGCATTAAAGGCCCCAGCATACTTCATTGTGCATGTTTTGCTTCATCTAGAGCACTTGTTTAGCGTGGTGGCACTACCTAATGGACCTTTTTACATTTTACCACTCACGTCTTTCACTAGTTTTGAGTGAATGGCCGCTTACTGATAAAACAACTAAGAGTTGGCTCTTCAAGTGACATTGAGTGATGAAAAAATCCCAAAGATTTAAAGACTGGCTGTTTTCTACCAACTATTTCAGGGGGATTTTGTTGACTAATCATTCTTCAAAAGTTCTTATTGTAGTGCTGTGGGAACAAATTTGTTTCAAAGTGAACTATTATAAACCAATCCACCCTGACTCTAGAAATTATGCAGAAGCCAGCCAAGCAGATTGCTTATGATTTTTTGGAAACATTTTTATTTTTAAGTAGGACTGCATCTGGCGGTCCAAGTTCAGTAATCATCTATACTTGAAACTGAACCTCTAAACTCAGTGTTAGCAGGTCAAATTATGAACCATCACTCATTAACTAAACTAAAGTTTTAGCATTTTAATGCATTTGGTCGTGGCCCACTAGATCTGTTACGCACGCTGCTGCTGGACTTGCTACTACCAACCGATACACAGACACATTGCTGTGAGCATGTCAGACAAGCTGCAGCAGCAATAGGAATACAGTAAATAAATCCTGTAGCAGATGTAGACAGGTGGTGCTGGGGGAGGTGGAGGGTTTCAGAGCATCTTTGACAGTGCGCTGCAGGACCAGCTTACAGCAAACAATGAACCAGACTATTTCATGTTGAGCAAGCAATCTCATTGGCTGCAGAATGAGCAGAGACCAATCAGCTTGTAAATAAGTCATAGCAGACTGCATGTAAAGGATCCATCAGCCTGCGTCTAGATTTTCATGACTGAGCTATATATGTTGAGGATACACTGAAGACATGCTGGAACTGAAATCCAACTCACATAGAAGTTTCTCAGGCCTAACAAATATTTTTATAGCAGAATCTCACCGTTCTGTACTCCATGAGCTCCATCTGCAGTCGGGCGATCTCCGTCCTGAGTGCACTGATCTGCTGGCTGGCCTTGTCTTGGTTCACCACCACCTTGTTCTTGATGTTGCGAGCTCTGTTAGCGTACTTCAGTGTGTTTAGGGTTTCCATGAAGTCCTGATCTGATGGGCTGGTGCAGGAGATCATCACTGTTCGACTAAGAAACCGGAGAGAATGTCCAGCTTTATTTATTTACTCGTACTGTCTAATGCTACAATGCCAAATTAATATTTTGTCCGGATGTGGATCAAGTCTGCTGCATCGCAATACATTGTTGAAAATGCATCCCTAATGTTGGTATTATGATCCTGATTAAAGAATTTTAAGCTCGCCAGTCAAAAATTGTCATTATCGTGTTATAATTCTGTTATTATCCTGTTATTACACCGCTATTCCAAATTTGCATGCTGTTCATGGGAAATACTGTGAAAAGCATTTTATAGATGCTATATATTTATTTATTTAAAGAATTTTAACTGAATTTGACTATTGTTAGATTGAAAAATTGAGAAGATTTGGAATATTTGCGTGCTATATTTCAAGTCTTCTCAAATCATATGATAACTTTGACTAAAATTGACTGAAATTTAAGTTGTCATTCAATTATAATATTCACCGACATCAAATATGGCACCAGTTGTCAGGTGTGGCATCAATGATATTTGGTCAAGAGACATGCAAGAACACATTTTGTTGTTGACGTCCAATCTGACATTATTTGTTGAAAGGCTACATGTTTGATTTCAAAGCTACAACGACAGAAAAAATTATCAAAGAATAATGCTTTGAATTCTGATCTGCTCTACATACAAACCTATTGGAATATAGTGCATATGGACTGCTTTCGTTTTTATGCCTTTTACAGTTTGACAGTCACTGTTACTTCAAACTATCATTGTATGAAAAAGACCTTCTTCGAAATTACTCTTAATGTTTCCAAGAAAAAATAACCGCATTCTGAGAAAATAATGACAGAATTGAAATTTTTGGGTGAACTATTCCTTTAAAGGTGGAGTAAGCGATTTTTAAAAAAGACTTTAGAAAACTGATTCGGGCCGAATTGCAAACCAAACTTGTAGCCAATCAGCAATAAGGGGCGTGTCTACTCATGATGTGGAGGAGAGAGAGTTCAGAGCACAGGACGGACATTAGCGAGTCGAGCGACAGAAAGATAGAGATGGCGGATAAAAAACAAGAGGAAAACGTCTGCGGAACAAAGGAAGGCTTAAGGCAATAAGGCAAGAACGTTTGCTTCTGTCTCCTAAAGCACTGATGACATTCCCTAATGCCAGCTGCATCACAGCCAGAAAAGAGAAGTTTCAGTTCACCTTATATAATTCTAGCCTGTGGGCGATTAATATGCAGTCTTATTATGTGTCATTGTTTAATAATATTACTCGTTCTGACCAATCCACAGTTAATGGAGATGCCCTCTTTGGCTCGGTCCCCTGTGGCCCCCGTCCTCTTGAGTCTCTCTGATCCAGCCAGATCCACGAAGTGAAACTTGGCTGTGAGGGTTTCAAACTCTTCCATCTCAGACGAGCTGTTGGCCAGTCGATTGTCGGTTTCATTGTCCTGCTCTGGAGGCTGAGAAAAAAAACATGAAAAGTTAATTAAAACACAACAATAGACTAGACGGTGTTTGTTCATTTTGGTGTGTTTCTACTCAATATGGCAGCTGTAGGAATGTGACCGCAATAACTTATGGTACTTACGCTTTCTGCGGGTGCACAAACACGCACTTGGCAGATGTGAATGGTGAAGATGGCGTGAGATCGAGAGCTCTGTACATTCATCTGAGTGCTAGCAGTGGTGCGGCAGAGAGCGCCCAGCTTCAGACACTGCATCATCTACAACACACACATCAGTACAGTCACTTACACTTCATGCATAATATCTGGATACAGTATCTTGGAAAAGAAATGGCTGACTCTCACTTCCGCCTCTGAGGAGACTGTGCGTGTTGTCACGCCTACAGTGTAGATGCTGCCGCTGGCGTCCTCGTGGATTTTAATGTGAGATTTCTGCTTCTTCATCTCAATGTCACGTGTGGTGTCGAAAAGATCTAACACCTCTTCATTATACAACTGAGAGAAGACAGACCATACAATAGTAATTAAACCATTCATATTATTGCACTGTTTTTTGCACATATTTCTTACATATGTGACCCTGGACCACAAAACCAATCATAAGATTTATATCATGAGATTATGAGATTTATACATCATCTGAAAGCTGAATAAATAGAAAAAGCTTTCCATTGATGTATGGTTTGTTAGGATAGGAAAATATTTGGTCGAGATACAACTATCTGAAAATCTGGAATCCGAGGGTGCAAAAAAATACAAATATTGAGAAAATCTCCTTTAAAGTTGTCCAAATTAAATTCTTAGCAATGCATATTAATAATCAAAAATTAAGTTTTGATATATTTACAGTAGGAAATTTACAAAATATCTTCATGGAACATGATCTTTACTTAATATCCTAATGATTTTTGGCATAAAAGAAAAATCTATAATTTTGACCCATACAATGTTTTTTTTGGCTATTGCTACAAATATACCCCAGCGACTTAAGACTGCTTTTGTGCTCCAGGGTCACATATATAGGGACTATTTGTTTGTCTGACCAATGGTAGTTAGGGAGGAATATCAGTCAGTCACACAAAAGGATCATTAAAATAATCTAGTAAAGCACAGTCCACAAAAGCTCTGTACCTCCAGAAACTGTGCGCTGATCTTGAACTCTGGGACGGGTCGACCCTGATCTGCGGCCGTCTGCCGTCTCTGCTCGATGCCTTTAAAGAGGTGACCGACCGCCCGCGGGATGATGCCCAGCTCCTCGTCTGATATGGTCACGTCAAAGCCCGTGCCCATCGTATACGTCTTCCCCGACCCTGTCTGAGATCCAACACCAACATCTGATCAGTGTCGATACGTTCAACTGTTTAATAAACACTTCATTATGTGGTTATTTATTTATTTTATAACTGTGCAGGTTGAACCCATAGACTGTATAAAAACATGGACGTAGTGACCGTGACGTCACCCGTAGGTTTCTGGAGAGCGTTTTTGAAGCTCAAAGTAGGCGGAGCGGGCCGTCACCATCTTGGCAGCACGTCACTCCCGGATAATCGAAAATGGGCAAAGAGGCGGGAGCTGGTTGCTGAAGCCACGCCAAGGTTGCCGCTTGGTTGAACCCAATTATAGTTGTGATGTAAAAGTACGATTGAGGAGGACGGCACACTATTTTCCTGTTTAACACTGTAAAGAAGCTTTGACACAATATGCATTGTAAAAAGCGCTATAAAAATAATGGTGTTTTGTCTAGAGGGTGTCACATGTGTTTTTCTGCTGGAGTTCGATGTGTCTGACTGGCGGATGAGTGAGACTGTTGATAAATCAGGATTAACACAGTGCCACGGGGAGAGACAGACAGATATCAAATCTGTGATGTCGTTTGGAGGAAGTCAGCCATGAAATGCAGGTCACAGGTCATAAATGAGACAGACAACATGAAGAATATATGGATGTCAGAGCAGAGCTCGCACATGTGAAACTAGGTCAAATCCAAACTCCTTTAACCTGTCATCTTAAATGATCCTGGATGTGCTCGAATTCCTCACATGTGGGACAATAACTAACCAGAAGTGTCAAAGTCAACATGAAAAGACATTTTCTAGAAACACAAACCTGTCCGTAGGCAAAAATAGTGGCATTATAACCCTCAAAACATCCTTCGATGAGTTTCTCAGTGCAGTTGGCATAGATGGTGTCCTGCGTCGAGTCCATGTCAAACACATAGTCATACGTGAAGGCCTTGTCCTTTCCCAGAACCACCTGGGGTTCGCCAGGGGTCACAAATGTGCAGATGTGACATCCCTCAATCTTTTCCTTTGCCAGCTGAGGACGAATCCTGTGACACACAGAGACATGAAATATTCTAAAACGACTTGCACAGTCACACGCTGAATAACAACGAGAGCCTCCTGATGTGTTGATAAAGTGACAATTAGTCATCTAAAATAGGAATGTAATTACTGGGTGTCTGACTGCATAGGATAGCATGTCTAGCAAGAAGTTTTACACTTCAAAGATGAAATCTCCGTCAATAAGCAAAAGGATGCTTCCTCACATTCAGCAAGATACAAAAAAAAACTAAGTTTGATCTCTAGAAGTATCTATTATATTCTAGTATTCAAATATGGCTCCGGTCCTTCTTGATCCCTCTTTCATCTTTTTGATGAAAAATCTTTCGTCCAATCACTTAGAAAAGTAACATCACACCTCTCTTTAACAAGCCATATTTGAGGTAGCATTCATAGCACACCAAGTTTAATACTTAGCAGTATGGTTTGTTTAAATCACCAATCAGCAGCAACAGTGAGGCTTGCATGGCGAGAGAGAGATACGTGGGTGAGAGAGACATAAGCAGAGGATGGGTTGGAGCCAGTCTGTAAGATCTGTATTGTTTCAAACATGTCAGTAGTGTGGAAGCATTTAAAACGGTCCAAGAAAGACCAATCATTACAAGCACCGACAGCGAGAGACAGTTTAGCACTGCATCGCATGTCTTCGATGAGAAGAGGAGGGTGGTTATTAGATGATTGATGATTTCATACTGTATTATGATTGAAATTGCCAAATGGCCTTAAACAATTCGTAAAGAAACTGCAGAAGGTTATGTTTTCTAATACACGCACGAATTGCAGGTATTCTGACAGCCCTGCACTGATGGCGCTGTCTGCTTGTTAGCCAGGGTTCAAAGCACGAGGAAAATCTGCGCTGAAACAGTGTAACTCGTCAGTTGCTCAGTAAAATTTTTCTGAATTTTTACAAGGCATGTGACAGTGTGATATGTGCGACAAACATCTTCCCAAATTCGTAATGAGAATCATTTATAAATCTGCTGTTGTCAAACGAAAAGAAGCACTGAGGTCTTCCTGTGGGTTTCCGCCAAAATAAAAGCTGAGAAAAAGCAAGAACTCCATCAGCATTCATAAATGTTACAGTGTTGTCATTTCACTGTTGTTCTGTAAAATAAAATAATAAGTAAAACAATAATAATGATAATAATACTTACAACAGCGCTATTAATGAATGTATTATAACATTCACACATAGTGTTCAAATTGTGAGCTGTAATATTTTCTTATGTTTTAAAAGAAGTCTCTTCTGCTCAGGAAGGCTGCATTTATTTGTACAGTAAAAATTGCATGCCTGATTCAAGGGGTCTCAAAAATGGCCAAAAAATATTATTTTACTAACTTATTAATTTTAAGTTAAATTGTGCTTTGTTTTTGTAATGTCTGCTAGAACGTTAAAAAATGTTCAGTGTTAAACAAATATTTTTAAATTGTTGTTTTGTAATATATTTATTTTTTCTTTGAAAAGCAAGACAAAATGGTAAAAAGCACATTTTGGCTATTTAATTTATACAATGGTGAAAATTTTTTTGGGCTAAATACATGGGGAGACGGCCCAGTGTTTAATTTTCGGCTTCAGCCAAGAATTTTCATTTTGGTGCATCCCTAGCCTGAACCAGCTGAACTGGCTCCTTTCGACTCTGAGGGGCAAGGGCACTATTCCGAGTCTCTCCCATTTGTCAGAGCTTCTCACCTTGTCTCTCATATTTAGCTCAGACACCCTTCTGAGAAAACACATTTCAGCAGCTCATGTGGTTGGAACATAGATCAACTGGTTAATCGAGAGTTTCGCCTTCACCTTCGCATTCAGCTCCGGCTTCACCACGACAGTCTGGTACAACAACCGAACTACTGCCGCCACCGCTCCTTTCTATCGATCTCATGTTTAGATCTGCCCTCACTTGTGAACAAGAACTCAAGATACTTGAACCCCTCTACTTGGGAAAGCAACTCACTCCCTACTTGAAGTGGGTAATCCACCTTTTTCTGTTTGAGAACCATGGCCTCAGATTTGGAGGTGCTGACTAATATCACCAGGCAAGGTCAGCAAGTTCCCATCCTGACTTACAAGAGCCTGAACCAGCCTATACTTCCTCAAATAAGACAACTGATGGTTTGCAACAGTGACAGGCAGCAAGAACCTTCTAGCAACAGCTCAAATTCCACAATAGAGGCTTTGAACAGAGCCCACTCGGACTCCATGTCTCTAGCCTCCCTAAGGATCAAGGAGTAGCTCCTCTGGAGGTGGGAGCTAAAGATCTTCCAGACAGGATCCTCTGCCAAACATTCCCATTTCACCCAGATGATTTATTTTGGTATCCCCAAGTCTGTCCAAAAGCTTTCAGACCCCGTCATCTTATTCAACTTACCAATAGGTGGTGATCCATTGACAGCCCTGCTACTCTCTTTACGAAGTGTCCAAAACACACGGCCACAGGTCTAATGATATAACAACAAATTCAATCATCAAACTTTGGCCTAAAGTGGTCGGGAAGTAGGTACATGGAGTTATTTATTTATTTATTTATTTATTTAGTCATTTAGCAGACACTTTTATCCAAAGTGACTTACAAATGAGGACAATAAAAGCAGTCAAAACTAACAAAAGAGCAACAATATATAAGTGCAAATGACAAGTCTCGGTTAGTTGTAGAGGTTTGTTTGAAGTGGCTGGAAGACCTGCCAAGAGAGCATTCCAATAGTCCAGCCTGGATAGAACAAGAGCTTGAACAAGGAGTTGGATGAGATGGAATAGGATCAAGCGGACAAGTAGTAGGATGATTGGAAAGGATGAGTTTAGAGACTTCTGCCTCAGAGAGTGGAGAGAAGGATGAAAACGAGTGTATGTTTGCTGGTAAGATGTGTTTGACAGTTTGTGGTGTGGCAAATTGTGCACTGAGGTTTGTAATGAGGTTTGTTATGGCCAATCCATTCTGAGCACACAAGTTTAACAACAGAATACCACTCCCTTCCAGGTCTCTTTGTCATCACCAACATGAGCTTTGAAGTCGCCCAGTAGTACCATGAAGTACCTAGGTGGTACTCCTTCCGGGGCCCAACCCAAGGTCTCCAAAACGGCTGGACACTTTGAACTGTGGTTTGGCACATAAGCACAGAACACAGTCAGAATATTTCCCTCTGTGACACAAATCACAGAGAGATGACCCTCTTGTCTACCAAGTTAAACTTCATAACCATGGCGCACAGTCGGCTTGTGAGTATTCCCACTCTCATCCGGGCCGACTGCAGAGAAGGAGCGAGCCCAACCCCTATCCAGGTGTGTGGTTCCAGAGCCCGAGCTGTGTGTGGAGGTGAGGCCATTGTAAGAAATTATAGTCTGCCTCGACCCAGCTTCCACTCCAAATTGTGTATTAAACTATGCTCCTTTCTCTACAAAGAGCTTAATTATCATATAGATAGTTCTTTCCGATCTTAATCATATGTAAATAGTACCTCCGGAGCGATAATTTGTCACTTATAGCGTGGGAGCAGCAGCAGGCCGTCAAGAACCATCTGCTGACCAAAAGGGTACATGAAAGAACTGCTATGGATTCTGTTTAATGATAGTTCTTTCCGATCTTAATCATATGTAAATAGTACCTCCGGAGCGATAATTTGTCACTTATAGCGTGGGAGCAGCAGCAGGCCGTCAAGAACCATCTGCTGACCAAAAGGGTACATGAAATAACTGCTATGGATTCTGTTTAATCTTATCACCTTAACATTTGGTTGTTCCCACTTGAGTCTACCGAAGATGTGGGAACGGAAGGCTATCACTTTCATTGTCATCCGCAATTTACATTTAAAACGAAACTTAATTTACATGTTGAGCGGGAAGATGAACGTAATACAGTATAAAATGATTGAGCTTAGGATGTTCGGGGTTCATTCTGACTCCGCTGAATCTGAAGTGCTGCCTGTACTTTGTCACTACTATTCTGTAATAAAAGTTATTCTTCATCAAGATCTTCGACGTCTTCACTTTTTCTTACACCATCTATATCTAGCTGGTATCACTTAACCTCCTGCACCTCTGACTCCTTCCCCACCAGAGAGGTCACATTCAATGTACCAAAACCTAATTCTGCAACCAAGGTCCTGTCTTCAAGACCCCTTCTCCGCCTGCCGCTCATTGTATATTACATCGGGTCCCCAAATCTTCCCCTTGCAGTTGGTGAGGTCACAAGTACCACTTCTCCACCGGGGCTGGTGCCAGAGCCGGAGCCCAATTGGTAACTTTTTTTGTTTTTGTTTGGCTAAGCCCAACTGTGCCACATGGGCCAGAGCCGGTAAATAACTAATGTCGTAGGATACAATATACACATAAATGCTCTGGCTAACTCCACAGACAGATAAACGAACAAGCATAATTCAGAAATAAAATGTAATTACATATTACAAATATACAGTAATTGCATACCAAATATCCAATACAACTAAATGATCAATAGTCTGAATATCCTATGTCGACCAGTCGAAATATGAATATCACTAGTGAGTAAGATTTAAAGGGGTCATATGATGCGATTTCAATTTTTCCTTTCTCTTTGGAGTGTTACAAGCTCTTGGTGCATAAAGAAGATCTGTAAAGTTGCAAAGACTAAAGTCTCAAATACAAAGAGATATTCTTTATAAAAGTTAAGAGTTAACCACGCCTACCTAAAATGGCTCGTTCTAACACGCGGTATGTGGAAAATAATGTTTTTTTTACTTTAAACCGCATAAACACATTTCATTACACCAAATACACAAAATACTGTTCTTTTTAGCAGCATCATATGACCCCTTTAATATGGTCTTTTTCAGGGAGCAATGTCATTTTAAAAAAACATTTTATAAACCTAACCAAAAATGTTATTCTTTCCAATATAAATATCACTGCTATTTACAGCAATTTACATACAAATATTTGAACTCATTACACAAATGAATACAATAAAACACTCCATTATTAATCCCAAAATTACTAAGAAAATTATTCTGAAATTAT